ATGTATGTATATATATATACATACATACATACAAATATATTTATATATGACACATATTATTATGAATATACATATTTTACATCTAAATATTAATTATTAAAAAAAAAATTTAATATTATAAACACATTTAAATTTATGTATACAAAATGTATTTCACATACAAATTAATATTCATAATTTAAATATGATATTAACTATTTAAAATTATATAGATATATATATATATATATATAATCTTTTCAAGTATTATTGCAATTCCGATTTTGAATACGATATTATCGTGGTCATAAATGCAAGAAATGAAGAGCTAACTTCCCGCGCCATCGCGCACGACCAACAGGAGAAACGAGGTTTTTCTATTCTAATTCAGTTGCGAGTTTATTTACGAATGAGCGTCGAGGAGAAAAAGGGATGAGAAAGATGAGCGAGGAAGGTGAAGAGAAGAAGAGGGACGCGGTTGCCATTGGTCCACATTCTAAACCAAATCCAGACCACATCGGCTTCCCTATTCCGGCGACCCCTCTCGAAGTCGCCGGAACGTACCCTCCCGGTGCCTCCGCTGCATATCCTTACCCGGCGTCGGGCATCTATCCTATAGGCGCCGGCGCATCTTTGCCTCCTCCCGCCGTTCAAGTTCCTTACGCCACTGGTCTTCCATACTATAGTCAGGGATACGGGACCGACCCTGGTATTTTTCTTTCTTACCTTCTTTCAAGTTTCTTTAAATTTTTTTGTCATCAAGCAGCAGATGGTTAATTTGTGGAATCGCTTTGAGTGGAATATAGTGAATTGGGGATTCATGCTTGGTTAATTTGGTTGAGTGCTGAGAAATGCTATAAATGATGGGCTAAAGTTTTCCTGAAATTAATGAAATTTCTATTTTGATCTTAGGCCCTTCTATTGCGAGAAAAACAGTTCGCAAGTGTTTCTATAGTTCATATATGTCATGATCAGGCCCGAGTATTAGAATTAATTAAGATAATAACAACGGTCGGATGCTATTAACATTTAACAATTATCCACAAAATTATAGAATCTTACAATATATAAAAAAGCCACTAAAACCCACAAAGTGCAATAAAATTAAACATCAAAAAACAATAATAAAATCAGAAAACATCTGAAACCAATACAGAATAATCTATTTATATATGAAGGAAACAATTAAAAAAAACTACGACACCCCTAAACTAATACATATTAGTTACAGTCTTCCTCTTATAGATCAAATCACTCTTACCAGGCATATTAACTTAAAATTTTTATTCTTCTGAAAGAAAACATTAACTTCAATTGTAAGTTTGTCTAGTGAGTAGTTATAATCATAATATGCATTATATTATGTTGTTTATGATATGCGTGGATGACAAAAAAAATGCAGTTCGCTACTTTATAAAACCTTCAAATTTCACTTTAATTTTTATCCCTTCCTATTTCACTAAGTATTTATCATTTTAACATCTTTAATAGACATATTAAGATTACCTTCATATCGAAAGATATCTTAAAAAGTTTACGTGAAAGCACCCTAGAACAATGTACCTGAAAGTACTCTCAAAATGTACCCGAATGTACCCTCAAATTATACCTGAAGGTGTATATTTATCATTTTCCTTAATATGCACGGGTACATTGCATTCCTTGTCAGTACCATCTATGAGTAATTTTGTATGACTTAATCTTTTACTTAATATTTCATATTAATTAAAATCCTTTAAAATGTGCATTCACATGACAATTATTTTCTCTCATTTGTGATATCATTTCAGACTTTCAAAATGTCAGATATCATTGAAATACTTTTTTCTTAAAATTATTTATCAATTATTTATTTAATAAAATATTAATTTAATGCATAAAAGAAAATTACTCACCTTGCTTGATATGGTCCACACTAATTCCTTAATCCCCAACCTTCTAAGCTAAATGTTTTTCAACCTAAATTGCAGTTAAATATTAAATTATATTTTAATTTTTTTATTAAATTATATATTAATTTTTTTAATAAAACATATCTTATCTTTTAAATTTATTTGTCTTCTTCCTCAAATTTAAAGGATTTGTTGACTTTCTTCCTCACTTCTTAATAACAATAAAGTTTAATAAATTAATTTAACTAATTATATTATTAAGTCCAATAACAACATAACGCTTAACATTTATTTTATATGCTTTCAGATCGATCTCCTCCTATGCTTGCTTCACAAAATTCTCCTTCATAGTCAAAATTCTTATATTAAAGCCCCGAGTCAATATGACATTGCATTAAACACACACACACAAATAAATGTATGCAATTTACCCTATAATAATCGGTCGACTATTCTATCTTAGCACGCTTGAAACACTCTTCCCACCGAATGGGAGCAACAGAAAGACGGTATTAACATTTAACAACTGTTCATAAAATTATAAAATCTTCAAATATATAAAAGGGTCACTAAAATCCACAGAATACAATAAAATTAAACATCTAGAAATAATAATATAATCAGATAACAACATCTCAAACCAGTACAGAATAATATATCAATATCTGAAGGAAAAAATAAAAAGAAACTACAACACACCAAAATTAATATATAACAACTGTATTCCTCCTGTAAACCAAATCTCTTACCTGACGTATTAACTTAAAGTTTTTTTTTCTTTTTCTCCTCAAAGAAAATATTAATTTCAATTGTAAGCTTGATTTAATAAGTAGTTATAATCATAATATACATTAAATTATGATGTTTATGTTATGTATAAATGACTAAAAGAAAATATAGCTCATTACTTTATAAAATCTTAAACTTTTACTTTAATTTTTATCCTTTTTTGTTTTACTTTTAGCATTTATTATTTTAACATCTTTAATAGACATAAAAAATATTATCTTCATATTCGAAGGTATCCTAAAAAATTTACCCGAAAGCATCTTAGAAAAATATACCCGAATGTAACCTTAAATTGTACCCGAATGTACATCTTTACCATTTTTTTTAATGTGCACGTGTACATTGCATCCCCTGTCAGTACCATCTGAGAGTAATTTTGTATGACTTAATATTTTTTTTAATATTTCATATAAATTAAAATCCTTTAAAATGTACATTCACATGTCAATTGTTTCCTCCCATTTGTAATATTATTTCAGACTTTCAAAATGTCAGGCATCAATGAAATACTTTTTTAAAAAAATTATTTGTCATTTTTCATTTAATAAAACATTAATTTAATATATTAAAGAAAATAATTACTCACCTTGCTTAGCTTGCTTGTCATACTGGTTTCCTAATATGAACTTACATGGTTCACATCTTATGCAACTCTCGACTCCGGCCCCTGCAACATATGTCGTCACAGCTCACCATTACGACATACGTGACCACTATGGTCTACATGGTTCACAACTCGTGCAGCTCCAGACTCAGGCCCCTGGGCCCCTGCGACTTCCGCGATCTACGGACGTCGTCACAACTCACCACTACAATCTAGGTGACCAACTACGACTTATGTGGTTCACACCTCGTACAGCTCCCAATTCTGACTTCTGCGGCCTACAGACGTTATTGCATCTCACCACTACGATCCATGTGACCAACTGCTGCCTATGTTGCTCACAACTTATGTTGCTTCTTACTCCGGTTTCTGCGGCCAATCAATGTTACTAAAGCAATAGTCTATGACACACATGATCAACTACTATCATGACTTTCAACTACTATCTATATGACAAGCTAACGCTACGATCATCATCTACAACATGCTTGGTAGAATACTGTCTTTATAACAATCGATTACGACCTTTGCAGCCTACTATCATCAAGAACTACATTCGTTACAACCAGACTATGACTATTATCAATGAATCACTCTTGTACATTTACAATGATCATCTTTGTAACTCCATATTTCTTAATTCAGAAGAAGAGTGAACTCATGTACTCAAACTTACATAGTAGATCATTTCAACTGGACTAGGTCATATAACTTTTTCCCTTTATAGTGTTTTTAATCTAAAAAATTCGAGGTGTCTTCTCATACTTTTCTATTTAAGTACTTGAGTGTGTGTTGAGTTTCCATTCAACCATTACAGGAATTAAGCAAATTTGTGTCGGCCAAGTCGGATGCAAATCGAAGGCAAATCCGACAATAATTAAGGTTTATCATCCGATTTGCATATGATTTTATGTCCGATTTTTTCTTCGGGTAAATTGGAGGTCGGTTATGTTAATTCCATCAAATTTATATTGAAAAATTCCAACACAAATAATTTGCGTCGTCTTTTTTGTCGTAATAACGTCAGATTTATTTAATCCATACGTGCGTTGAATTTTGCGTTTGAAAACATTTGAAGATAAAGAGTATTATCTGATTATCTTGAATTTGCGGTGGATAATATAGATGAATGACGAAACATTATTATCATTTTAGCGTTATATTTTTTGACGCAAAACGAAAGAAAATCCGACGCAAACTTAAACCACAAAAAAAGGGAAAATCAATTACAATTTCATAACATATACACTACATATAATCCACATTGCATACCTTATTATAGTCCATCATACCACAAATCAATACTCTAAAAAATATCATTAATGAAAAAGAAGATATTATCATAAATCATCCCAAATAAGAATAGTAAAGTTTATCAATAATTTCATGACAAATGTTTAAAATAATGCTTAGAAATAAACGAAAAAAATAAACTTGCTTCGACAATCTGCTAAAGTATCTGTCATGCGCGTCATAGTCCTCAACCTTATGCTTGCCTTGTAGCATCTACTTGTGTAATTGATGGATTTCTTCGTTCATTGCAGTCACCTGCTTGACAAGAGCCTCATGGTCTGATTGTGAAGAGCTCCGGGAACTCAGTACGGGACCACGCGAGAGTTCAGCCTCGAAAGCTATGCCCTTCGCTCCAATGCCATAAACCCTCCTCTTCTTCTTCACCGCCGCTTGGGTCCAAAGCTCGTATGCTACTGGCGAAAGTCTGGTCATGCATGACCGAGTGCCTCTCCCGGAGCTGTTTGAACTCATGCATAATAAAAGCCAGTGTTTAATTGACACTTTCAATGGTTAAATTCAAAATAAACTTTTAATTGAAGGTTTTTAACTTACAACAACTCGTCGGGAATGTTCCAAGACCCTCTGCACAGTCCTCGGACGCTGATGAGTTCGAACATGCTACTCCGCAACAAAGGGAGCACGATTCAACTCCTTGGCCTATGTAGTGTACAAAATTGGTTAGTGCTACAAAATTACTATAAAGATTGAATTAATTTTTCAATATTTAGAAAAATCTTACTAGCCTATAATAGTGCTTTGTATGGGAGACTGATCCTCCAATATGGAGCGTAGCTCCTCTGGCCCGTTAGTCTGTCTTTTCCTCTCATCATTAAGAGAGACCCAGGTTGCGGTCAACTGACCCCAGAGCCCCTCATCGATCTAGGCAGGCTGCTCGCCCATTCGATTGGCTGTCATGAACATGTCTCCAAGGCGATGTCTGCTTCGACTCTTGAAGATTTGACGGATCTAATGGTGTTGTTCTAGGAGCCAAGTGAAAGACCTCTGCAACGTAAAAAATAATCCATGTGTTAGCATAAAAAAATAAATCAAATTTTTAAATCTGATTCAAATTACATGATCGTACCTCAAACTCCCTGAACCACAAGTTCTAAGTGCCTACAGGGATCTGCT